ATAAGACACAGGAGCCTTCATAAGGAAATGAAGAGCTGAAGAAATGGTTAAGCCTGAGTATTTTTGTGCTGGATTTGAAGAACAATGGAGAGCGATAGAGAAATATGATAGGACAAAGAGTGTGTGAACTAGTGGGGGGAAGTCAGCAAGGCTTGTTCAGATTCTTCTCTGTCCCTGTGTCTTTGGAGATAAGTATGTTCTTGTCAGGGTATAGGCAGGGCATCTCTCACCTGAGGGGTTCATGACCTGCTTCAAAATGGTCATAAAATTGCCGGTCACAGTGGCTCATGCCTGTAATCCCAGAACTTTGGGAGGCTGAGGGGGGCAGATGGCTTGAGCTCAGGAGTTCGAGACCAGCCTGGGGAACATGGTGAACCTGTCCCTATCAAAACTACAGAAACTTAGCAGGGTTTGGTGGCATACATCTGTGATCTTAGCCACTTAGGAGGCTGAGGTGGGAGGACCGCTTGAGTCCAGGAAGCAGAGGTTGCAGTGAGACGAGAGTGCACCACTGCACTCCAGCCTAGGTGACAGAGTGAGACTCTGTCTCAAAAAAATAAAAATAAAACAAAGTCAGAGAATCCTTCCTGGGTTTTATGACCTGCTTCAGGAATGAGGGGCAAAGGAAAGTCAGAGGCACCTTCTCCACATGCTGTTTCTCCAATTCTTTTGGCGTAAAATATTCAATATGCCAAGGTGCAGTATTTGGGGATTGGTGTGTCCTGAACCCCATCACAGGCCAGGGTGATATCAAACGTGGGGCATGAAGAGTTGGATCAAAAATATCAAAGGCATGCATTTTCACTACACTCATTCAGCAGTATCTCATCAAAATTGGATAGAGCCCAAGGGTGAGGATGAATTTTTAAAAAGACTCAGAGAGTCTGACAAAAGTTTGATCAAAAACGGGGGTTTTGGCTGTGTGCGGTGGCTCACGCCTATAATCGCAGCACTTTGGGAGGCCAAGGCAGGCAGACCACTTGAGGTCAGGTGGCCGAGACCAGCCTGGCCAAAATAGTGAAACCCCATCTCTACTAAAATACAAAAATTAGCCAGGCATGGTAGCATGTACCTGTAATCCCAGCTACTCAGGAGGCTGAGGCAGGAGAATTGCTTGAACCCAGGAGGCGGAGGTTGCAGTGAGCCAAGATCACACCACTGCTCTCTAACCTGGGTGACGGTGTGACTGTCTATATCAAAAAAAAAAAAAAAAAAAAAAAGAGAGAGAAAGTTTTTTTCAGCTGAACATGGTGGCTCACACTTTTAATCCCAGCACTTTGGGAGGCTGAGGTGGGTGGATCACTTGAGCTCAGGGTCTCAAGACCAACCTGGGCAACATGGTGAGACCCTGTCTCTATAAAACATACATAAAAGTAGCCTGATGTGGTGATGTGCACCTCTGGTTCCAACTACTCAGGAGGCTGAAGTGGAAAGATCACTTGAGCCTGGAGGGTGGAGTGTTGCAGTGAGTCAAGGTTGTGCCACTGCACGCCAGCCTAGGCAACAGAGTGAGAGCCCCTCTCAAAAAAAGAAAAGAGAGAGTCTTTAGAATACATCAGGGAATTCTAATAACAAAATACAAATATTTCTCCCCTGTGGGCTTATATCTGGGGGGAAGGGGCAACAATAGCATAATGAGAAATTATATAGTATATTACAAGGTAATAGATGAGTTAAAGGAAAAATTTTAAACAAAAGGTAAAATCATGCCTCTCATACAAATATAAAATGAATACATGACTAAGATTTTAGTTAACTCATTCATTAATAAATGAATCAATTAAGAATTACTAAAAGTCTGTGTTTGACCTTATTGTAAGCTGACAAGTTAGCCTTTCACAGTTCCCACAGGTGCTAGCTGAAGACACAACACTCCTGGGACAGAGACAAAGGACTATATTACTCATAGCAATTGCAGTAGCCAGAGTATCAGCATTTTCCTACACCAGTTCCTTAAGCCTCGAATCCCCCAGGGTAACATGAAGAGGGGAGGGCAATACCTACAAAAGTATTGAATTATGTAACAAGAGAAGAACCCTGAGCTTAAGGAACCCCGATCTTTTATACTAGACAGTAAGCATTCCTGTCCTTTGCTCTGGAGAGAGATATTATATCTTCAAAAGCCATAATTAAATTACTCTTTGTACCAAGGGGAGACATTCTCTTTCTTCCAAGGCTGTTTGCTAAACAAATAGCCTTGAAAATACAGTCCAGGTCCAGGCGCAATGGCTCATGCCTGTAATCCCAGCACTTTGGGAGGCTGAGGCAGGCAAATCACCTGAGGTCAGGAGTTGGAGGCCAGCCTGGCCAACATGGTGAAACTCCATCTCTACTAAAAAATACAAAAATTAGCCGGGCGTGGTGGCACATGCTCGTAATCCCAGCTACTTTGAAGGCTGAGACAGGAGAATCGCTTGAACCTGGGAGGTGGAGGTTGCAGTGAACCAAGATCGTGCCATTGCAGCCTGAGTGACAGAGCAAGACTTCGTCTCAAAAAAAAAAAAAAAAAGTCCAGAACAAAGGTAGTCAGTGCCTCTACTCAAAAAATGTAGAAATGTGAGAGACCTATGGAGAATTGTCTATTAACAGCAATAAGAGGGTACAACTGGTTCAAAGGAGAAGTAAAAGCAAATACATATACAAGCAATTAGAAATGCTGAAATGAATTTACAACTAGAGGCAAAACTGGTCAATATATGTATAGGGAAGTCTATTGCATCACCACCAGACATTATTTGCATTTATATGTATTAATACAAGAATCATTTATGTTATTTTCATTTTTCTACAACATAGCTCAAAGACAATGAAAGGTGACAATAACCTATAAAGGTACAACTACAAGACATTTTTGCCCATTTCACACATGCTCACTTCAGCAGCACACGTACTGAAATTAGAACAAGACAGAGAAAATTAGCACGGTCCCTGCACAAGCATTGTGTGCAAATTCATGAAGCATTCCATATTTTCGTGGATTGGATAAAGAAAATATGGTACCTGTACATCATGAACTACTACGCAGCCATAAAAAAGAACAAAAGTATGTCCTTTGCAACAGCATGGATGCAGCTGGAGGCCATTACCCTAAGCAAATTAACACAAGAACAGAAAACCAAATACAACATGTTCTTACTTGTAAGTGGGGGCTAAACATGGGGTACTCATGGCCAGGCACAGTGGCTCATGCCTGTAATCCCAGAACTTTGGGAGGCTGAGGTGGGCGGATCACCTGAGGTCTGGAGTTCGAGATCAGCCTGAACCAACATGGAGAATCCCTGTCTCTACTAAAGATGCAAAAAAATAAAAATAAAAAATTAACCAGGCATGGTGGCACATGCCTATAATCCTAGCTACTCGGGAGGCTGAGGCAGGAGAATCACTTGAACCCGGAAGGCAGAGGTTGCAGTGAGCTGAGATCACGCCATTGCACTCCAACCTGGGCAACAAGAGTGAAACTCTGTCTCAAAAAAAAAAAAAAAGTTGGGCACTCATGAACATAAAGTTGGCAACAAGCCCAGGTGTGGTGGCTCACACCTGTAACACCAGCAATTGGGAGGCAAAGGAGGGAGGATTGCTTGAGGCCAGGAGTTCAAGACCAGCCTGGGCAATGTGTCAAATCCCCATCTCTACAAAAAATACAATAATTAGCTGGGCCTGACGGTGTGTGCCTGTGGTCCCAGCTATTTAGGAGGCTGAGGCGGGAGGGTTGCTTGAGGCCAGGAGTTCAAGAATTCAGTGAGCAGTGATTGTGCCACTGCACTCCAGCCTGGGTGACAAAGTGAAACCCTTTCTCAAATAAAAAAAATGAAGAAAGTAGGGCAGAGAAAGGGGCAGTAGTTTGAGTGAAGTTTTCAATAGGGTGGTCAGCTTGGCCTCAATGAGAATGTGAAATTCAAAGAAAGACTTGAAGGAAGTGAGGAAATTGATCATGGGGAGGAATCAAGGGCAATCTAGGAAGAGAGAGCAGCCAGTGCAAAGGTCCTGAGGCAGGCACATGCCTTACTTGCCTGAGGAGCAGCAAGAAGACCAGCGTGCTGGAGTAGAGTTAGTGGGGCAACAGAGGAAGAAGTAGAAGGTGGGATCAAGGATTTGTTGAGTGCCAGATAAGAGAGGGTCTTGAAGCTTTTTGAAGGACTTTGGCTTTTACTGTGTGTATCATGGGAAGTCATTGCAGAGTCTTAAGCAGAAGAATTGACTTAGGCTTAAAAAGGATCCCTTTGACTGAAGTGTTAGAAAGAGGCCATGGGACCATGGCTGGTGAGGAGGTCAGTGGGAAAAGCGGCAGCAGTATTACTGCTCACCCAGCACAGTAAAGTCAAACATCTACACTGAAGTTTGCAGTGGGAGAAAGGAGAGTGTTTATTTGCAGAGTGCTAAGCAAGGAGAATCAGGTAGTTCATGCTGAAGATCTGACCTCCTGGGTGACTTTCAAGCAAGGGTTTTTACAGGCGGGGTACATTTCAGGAAAGCAGAAGTTACAGGCAAAGACACAGGTCCATCCATGGAAGCTGTATGTTGCTTTGGTCCCCAAAATTGGGTTATCTTGAAGAGCAGGGGGCCTTACAGGTGGCTTTAGAGATTATTTAGTTAAGAACGTAAGGCTTTTTCAAGAACTTGAGGTCAGCAGGAAGGAATGTGGGCGCGACTCTCTCTAGGCCCCTCAGAAAAAGATTTATAATCAAAGGCAGTGGTCAGAGTTGGGTCCTGAGTTCTCCCTTATCTGAGGTCTACTCAATGGTGGTCAGCATTTTCCATCTGGTGGGGTTCTGGGTTTCTGAAACCAACTCAGGGACGTGTGTTAAGATGCCGTCTTTGGTTTCTGTAAGGAACCAAACATCCTGTGGCTCTAACCTCCTTGGGTAGCTATTATTTTAAGGTATTATTACCTTCCTGTTTATTAAGTTCTTCAGTTACTTCTCAAGGCTAGCTAGGTGCCTGGAATTTCCCTTGAAGGGATTCAAGATTTTCCTTTATTTCCATGTTTCCAGGGGTGGGCAGAAGACTCCTGAGATGGGGTTCCTGCTCTGTCTCAGCAGTGATGAAATCTGGCCAATTCTAGTCTAATATATTGTGAAGGTTGAACAGACAGGATTTGCTGATGGGTTGGCCATAGGATACAATAAAAGAGAAGAGTCAAGGAAGCCTCCGGAGCTTTCTGCCTGAGCAACTGGAAGGATGGAGATGCTACAACTGAGATAGTGAAGGTGTAGGTGGAGCAACTTTGGGGGACACTCACCCTCTCTGAGCCTTACCTGTTAAGTGGCTGCTTCAGATAGGTTGTATGAGTCCATTTGGACTGCTGTAACAAAATACCTTAGACTGGGTTACTTGGAAACAACAGAAATTTATTTCTGTCAGTCCTGGGGGCTGGGAAGTCCAAGATCAAGGCACCAGTGGATTCAGTATCTGGTGAGAGCTCTCTGCTTTATAGACAGCATCTTCTTGTGGTATCCTTACGTGATCAAAGGGGCAAACACTGTGTCCTCAGGTGGCAGAAGGGCTGGGGAGCTCCCTTTGACCTCTTTAATGAAGACACTAATCGCATTCATGATGGAAGAGCCTTCATGACTTAATCACTTCCCCAAAGCCCCACCTCTTAATACCAACACAATGGAGGTTAGGTTTCAACATTAATTTTGGAAAGACACATTTCAGACTACTGCACCTCTGTCTTTGAGAGACTACAGCTAGTGCTCGACTTAGGACCACGATTGGTTCCGACAGACCGGTTGTAACACGATTTGGTCGTAAGTTGAGTAGTCTATATGCACGCGGAGATGGTAGTGCTGCCGGAAGCTGGTCCGCACTGTCATACGCCCAGCTGGGCAACGTTTGCACTGCCAGACGCGGAGCAGTCGTGGCTAGCGATTGTGGTCGTAAAGTCGAATGGTCGTAAGTTGCATAGGTCGTAAGTCGATCAATACCTGTAGTCCCATAGTTTGAGAGTAAAGCAAGGTCAGGAAGAGAGCAATGTAGCATTCATCCTTCTTTATTAACTCTGCCTGGTCCAGGGATGAAATCTTGTTTCTATGACCTCTTTGGCCACTCACTGGGTTCCACTCCAATTCACTTTCAATAAAAAAGTTAGGAGGAGATGGTGAGGGACAGGAACAGGTGATAAGCATGTATTAGTTATCTGTTGCGGCATAACAGCATTACCACAAACTCCTGACCTGCAGAAACTATGAGATGATAAATGTGTTTTGTTTCTTAGTGGCCTGAGACAGCACACACTTACCATCTCATAGCTTCTGTAGGTCAAGAGTCCAGACACAACTTAGCAGGGTCCTTTGCCAGGCTGCAATCAAGGCATCAGCCAGGACTGAAAGACTGGGTTCTCATCTGGAAGCTCAACTGTGGAAGGACCCACCACCCCACCGATGTGGCTTGTTGGTAGCATTCATTCAGATCACCTGAGGTCAGGAGTTTGAGACCTACAACATTCCTTGTGGTTGTAGGACTAAGAGGTTCAGATTCTTGCTGGCTGTCAGCTGAGGCTGCCCTCAGCAACTAGAGGCTGCTCTCATCTAATTGCCACCACATAGGCCACCCACATGGCCACTTGCTCCTTCACAGTCATCAAGGGAGAGCATAAGAGACAGTCCTGCCTGATGGGCATTTCAGTCCTATGTAATGCAATCACAGACATCCTGTCCCCTTTGCTGTACTCTATTGGCTAGAAGCAAGTCACAGGCCCCGCCTACACACACAAGGGGAGGGGATTACACAAGAATGTGACTACCAGGAAGTGGGGATGGGGGGCCACCCTAGAGTCTGTCTGCCACTAAAGTGCCTACTACATGCTAATTCTGGGCTAAGCACATTCGTACCCACAGCCCACTTTCATTCTCTCAATCCGCTTGCACGGTGCTTTTATTTGCTCCAGTTTTATGAGGAAATTCACACTTAGAGGGATGAAGCTGGAGCACTACTGCTTGGTATCCAAACCTGAGTCTGTCTGTCTCTGAGTCTGGACTCTTCCTATGGCATCCAAACGGAATCATCCCAGAGAAGGAGGTATGGGGAGCAGGAAGGTGTGATTTGAGACACTGTATATGACTCTCCCTCTCCTTCTCTCTCCCAACCCCAGTCTCCAGCCAGAAGAAGGCAGTAGAGGCAAAATGCAGCCTGGCCTGTGAGTACCTGAGCGAGGAGGATTACATGGACTTGCTGTGGACCACCCTCTCTGAGTTCCCAGGTAAGGGACCTATGCAAGGTGAAGCTGGGGCAGGCAAGCCTGAGAATATGGTAATTGCTCAGCCGGTGACTCTGTCAGCCCCACCTGGAAGCAAATCCCATTTCTAGTTTTGTTTTTCAGTCCTTAACTATAAGTTGTCAAGAACTGTGAAGAGGCTGAGATTTTACCCTACTTAAAGGCTATGAAATTAAGCTGCCCAATTTCATGCATGCTGGCAGAAGACATGAGACTCCTGGGTCAGAGACAAGAGTATTATAGCAAGCAGCTTGAGTAGTACCTTGGTGACTTGCACCCAAGTCCCACAGGGATGATGAGGAAGGACCCAGGTGGAGGCTACACATGCAATGGATTTGCAATGCAGCTGGGGAACCCCAAGCTTAGGGAGCCCAAATATGATTTTTATGATGGTCTGCTAGAAACCTCCCCAAGGGAGACACCATCTGTATTACACTGGACAATAAGCAAACCTACCCTTTGCTCCAGGGGGAAACAGTATCTCTATCTTCCAAGGCTGTTTGCTACACAAACTACTCTGACATAGTAGCCTGGACCCAAAGGGCAGCTGGTTCCTCTGCTCATAAGATGTGTAGAAATATGAGAGACCCATGGAGAATCATCCTCCAACACCAGGCACACTGGAAAGGAACAGTAGAGTGTCAAAAATCCAAACTTGCACATGATGCAAAGGTGATCTATCTTTTTTTACTTTAAGAGGAATAATTATTACAACAACAATAATATTTAGTACTTATTGAGTACCTATTGTATGCCAAGGACTGTGTGAAATGTCTTACAGATACGATCTAATTTAATCTTGTGAAGTTGTATAGTTATTCCCATTTTACAACTGAAGAAACTGAGGCTCAGAGTGGTGACATAATTTGCCCAGTGTAGCAGAAACTGTTCCCGCAACATACAACTGCCAGGATTCTGGGCCTGAAGACTATCTCAGAAGGAATGAGAAGTCTCTGTATCTAAAAGCAAGCAAAGTAGAAGGACATGCCAAGGAGTTAGCACCTGGAAGCAGCCTTTAGACAATAACTGTGGGATTTGGCGGACAAATGCCCCAGTGTCCTTGCCCATCAGCAGGAAGACTCCAAGGCACACGCTCTATGCTGGCTTTTGAGTCCCCCAGTGGAATTCAGCACCAGTCACCCATGGTGGTGACTTGCTCGATACCCACCTTTTGGCAGTTGCTTTCCTTTCCCAAATTTACCTCACCACTCTCCTGCTGGTCCTTCCTTGGATTACCTCCCAAGTTGATGCCTTGTACTTACATCCTAGTCCCAGGGTTTGCTTCTGCGAAAACCCAACTACGATACCGAGTACCCCACAGCAGGCAGGGCTAAGAGCTGTGCTCTCACCCTGGAATCCAGAGTCTTCAGTCTGATACTGCACTGCCTATCTTTCCTCTAAAACCCTTTCCCCACATAGCTCAGTAGGTAAGAACGAAGGCTCAGAAGTTAAACTCAACATTTCCAATCTCCATTTCTGTGACTTTAAGAAAGTCACGGGATTTTCCTCTCTGGGATCCCCTCCCACAGTGGTGTGGGAGCTCTCTCTGCTTCTCTCTTTCTCTCTCTGCCTAATAAATTGCTCCTGGAAAAAAAAAAAAAAAAGAAAAGGAAGTCACGTTACGTGACATTTCTGTAGCAGGAAGCACTCACTATTTCTGTGATTTTACTTCTCCGAAACTCAGATTCTTCTTCATTTACTATGTGTATTGTTTTATTGTTCATTGATGTGTCCCAACCTCCTAGAACAGTTCCTGACACACAGTAGATGCTCATTAACTGAATAACTGTGGAAAAATGTATTCAATAAATTAATAGCATTTATTTTAGGGGATCATTTTGATGATTAAACAAGATTATGGATGTAAAAATGGGGCTGGGCATGGTGGCTCACGCCTGTAATCCCAGTGCTTTGGGAGGCCAAGGCAGGCAGATCACCTGAGGTCAGGAGTTTGAGACCAGCCTGGCCAAGATGGCGAAATCCTGTCTCTACTAAAAATACAAAAATTAGCTGGGTGTGGTGGCATGCACCTGTAGTCCCAGGTACTCAAGAGGCTGAGGCAGGAGAATCGCTTGAACCCAGGAGGCAGAGATTGCAATAAGCCAGTGTTGCATCACTGCACCCCAGCCTGGGTGACAGTGCGAGACTCCATCTCAAAAACATTTAGATATAGTTGTAAAAATGCTTAGCTCAAATTAAATTATTATTATTACTAATAAGTATTATGCTATACTGCCTCCACTGAGGTAGAGTGTTATTTTTAGGCCCATTTTATAGATGAAGAAATTGAGGCTGAGAGGAGGTAAGGGACTAACCCAAGGCCACATGGCAAGTTAGAGGCAAAACGAGGCATCAGAACCCAGGTATTCTGCTGCCTGGATTCAGTGAATGCCACCATTCAGGCTCCTGTGGGTGCCTGGATTAGTTATCTATTGCCACGTAACAAACCACCTTGCAAATGTAGTGGCTTAAGGCCGGGCTCAGTGGCTCACACCTATAATCCCAGCATTTTGGGAGGCTGAGATAAGTGGATCACAAGGTCAGGATTTAAAGACCAGCCTAGCCAAGATGGTGAAACCCCGTCTCTACTGAAAATACAAAAATTAGCCAGGCACAGTGGCAGGTGCCTGTAATCCCAGCTACTCAGGAGGCTGAGGCAGGAGAATTTCTTGAACCCAGGAGGCAGAATTTGCAGTGAGCCAAGACCACACCATTGCATTCCAGCCTGGGTGACAAAGCAAGACTCTGTCTCCAAAAAAAAAAAAAGAAAAAAGAAAATGTAGTGGCTTAAAACAATGCACACTTATGATCTCACACATGCTGTGGCTTCCCTGGGTGTTCTACTTCAGCACATTTCATGTGGCTGCAATCAAGGCACTGGCCCAGGGTCTGCAGTCTCATCTGAAAGCTCAGCTGGGGCAGGATCCACTCCCATGCTTACTCACGTGATTGCTGGCAAGATTCTATTCCTTGAAGTTTTTGCACTGAGGGCCTCAGTTCCTTTCTGGCTGTTGGCCAGAGGCTACCTTCAGTTCCTTGCCAGATGGCCTTCTCTGTCAAAGCAAATACATGAGAAGAGCCAGGGAGAGAGAACACCAAGATGGAAGTCACGGTCTTTTATTACCTGACCTCAGAAGTGACACCCCATCACTTTTGCTGTCTTCTAGTCATTAGAAGTGAGTCACTAGGTCTTGTCCCTCCTCCAGGGGAGGGGATGATACAGGCTGTGCCACCAGGGTGGGGGGCATTGGGAACCACATCGGGAGCTGCCTACCCCTCCCCGCTCCCCTTTCAGGTGTCCTTGTGACTCTGTGGATTATTGACCGCCTGGGGCGCAAGAAGACCATGGCCCTGTGCTTCGCCATCTTCTCCTTCTGCAGCCTCCTGCTGTTTATCTGTGTTGGAAGGTGGGTGTCTGCAGGCCTAGTTGTGAGGATGGGCACAGGTGGAGGTGTGGGTGCAGGCCCAGGTGGAGGTGCAGCCCCAAGTGTGAGTGTAGGTGTAGGTGTGGGTACAGGCACAGGTGTGAGTGCAGGTGTCTGTGTAGCCCAGGTATAGGTGCAGACCTAGATGTGTTTATAAGCCCAAATGTGGGCACAGGTGTGGGTTAGACCCAGGTGTGAGTATAGCCCCAAGTATGGGCACAGGTGTGGGTATAGGCCCAAGTGTTGGCACAGGTATGGGTTAGGCACAGGTATGGGCATAGCCCCAAGTGTGGGCACAGGTGTGGGTTAGGCGCAGGTGTGAGCATAGGTATAGGTGCAGGCCCAGGTGTGGGTGCAGGTGTGGGTACAGGCCCAGGCATGGGAATAGGCCCCAGTGTGGGCACAGGTATAGGTGCAGGCCCAGGTGTAGGTATTGGCCCAGATGGGGGAACAGGCCCAGATGTGGGTGGAGGCCCCAGTGTGGGCACAGGTGTAGCTGCAGGCCCAGGTGTGGGTGCAGGTATGGGTACAAGCCCAGGTGTGGGTATTGACTCAAGTATGGGCGCAGGTGTGGGTGCAGGCCCAGATGTGGATGGAGGCCCCAGTGTGGGCACAGGTGTAGGTGCCAGCCCAGGTGCAGGTATTGGCCCAAGTGTGGGTACAAGTGGGAGTGCAGGTGTCAGTGCAGGCCCAGGGATAGATGCAGATACAGGTAAAGGTGTAGGTGCTCACTAGGACTGAGGCTCATGGCTGCCTCACAACTGAATAAAAGATCAAGGCCCGGGAGGGGGCCTCTGATGGGAGTTGTCTGGGGCGGGGGGAACTTTGGCCCCAGTTTTGCTCTAATAATGCCAAATTTTAGACTTTTGACATCATCTCCCAATGAGAGCATACATGTAGCTATTTAATTCATGTATATGTTAAAACTGTTAACTTGTTCAATGTAAATATTTCAAATAGACCCCATTTTAGCATTTCTCCATTTTTCTATTCGCCAAGAGGCTCAAAATATGGAAATGGCTTATGCCTCTCTTGATCTCTGAGAGGCCCCAGACCATACCCAATGAGGAACCTGTGGGCCACCTCCTGGTCTGAGGAAGCTTGGGAGATGTAGCTTCGACCCTGAAATGTTGGTGTTCTGGGACATTTGTGGGAACAATGGGACAGAGGGTTGGAATCAGAATTATCCTAAGAATACTGAATAGTGGTTTACTTTCCCCAGCTCAGCTGGCCCCTGGCACAGTTCCTGCTCCACCCCCAGCCAAGTTCTTGTCTGAGCTTTCCATTATTTATACACTTCTCCCTAATCTTGCGCCCATCCTGGGCACCACAGATGTTTTCTTCTCTCAGCCGAGTACTCTGAAGAATGATGAACTTGTAAAAGCATGCCTGTCAAGATGGTACTGAAATATGTATGCCTACATGCCTATCAATGAGCGTCAGGGAGGGGTCACCTTTGGCAATTGCAAGGGCGTTCATACTGCCTGGGAAGATAGGACTAGGCTGAACCAAGCAGACAGAAAAAAATGTCATTATCTGTTTTTATCCTCCTCCCCTAGAAATGTGCTCACTCTGTTACTCTTCATTGCAAGAGCGTTTATTTCTGGAGGCTTTCAAGCGGCATATGTTTACACACCTGAGGTAGGAGGGGTGTCTGGGAGCTGCTGGGGAACGGGCTGTGGGGAGAAAGTGGCTGGGGGGATGCTCTGCTTCCAGAAACCATTGAAAAGAATGAGGTGGCCCTTGCAGAGGGAGTGGATCATGAGAGAATTTAGGTATTCTGATCTTTTGCAAAGAAAATGTATCTCTGTATTGTTTATGTAATTGAGTGAATTGAAATATTATATATAAATGCATATGGTATGCACTCAAAAAGTATGCCCTGAATAAGTAGTCATGCCTGTAATCCCAACACTTTGGGAGGTCAAGGCGGGAGGATCACTTAGGCCTGGAAGTTTGAGACCAGCCTGAGCAATGTAGCAAGACCGTCTCTCTAAAAAAATAAAATAGAAATTAGCCAGACTGTGGTGGTGCACATCTGTAGTTCCAGCTACTCTGAAGGCTGAGGCAGTAGGATCACTTAAGCCTAGGAGGTGACAGCTGCAGTGAGCCATGATCACGCCACTGCACTCCAGCCTGGGCAACAGAGCAAGACCAAAAAAAAAAAAAAAAAAAAAAGAATGAGGTAGATGTCTATGTATTGATGTGGATAGGATTTTAAGACACACTACTGAATGGGAAAGGCAAATTGCAGAATAATATATATTATATGATACCATTTATGTATTTTTAAAATGCTATTTCCATATGTATATTTTTTAATGTATCTGGGAATACACATTCCAAAGATATCCCTAATAGGAGGGTTCTATGGGGAGAATTTTCCTAGTAGAGAGAGTGGATCACGAAAGAATTTAGGTATTTTGATTTTTTACAAAGAGAATATATTTCTATATTGTTTATGTAATTGGGTGAATTGAAATATCATGTATAAATGCATATGGTGTGCACTCAAAAAATATGTCCTGAATAAGTAAGTGAATGAAGATGTATGTGCTATAGATAGCCACAGGAAAAACTAGAGGAATATACATCAAAATGTGACAGATCTCTTGAGGGTTGCGATCCTGAACGAGTTGTATATTTTCCTGTTTATGATTTTATTCTTCGCAAGCTTTCTGCACGGAGCATTTCATTTATTAGAAACATGCCAGCTAATGTAACAGAGAACTCCCAGAGTGGAGTGTTCTGACACAAGAGCAGCTTGTTGCTTATCAAAGAGGCCAGGCCAGGCACAGTGGTTCACGCCTGTAAAACCAGCACTTTGGGAGGTCAAGGCAGGTCGATCGCTTGAGCTCAGGAGTTCACGACCAACCTGGGCAACATAGTGAAAACCTATCTTTACAAAAACTACAAAAATTAGCTGGGAATGGTGGCACATGCCTGTTGTCCCAGCTACTCAGGGTGGGGCTGAGGTGGGAGGATCACCTGAGCCCAGGGAGGTAGAGGCTGCGGTGAGCCATGATTGTGCCACTGCACTCCAGCCTGAATGACAGAGTGAGACCCTGTCGCAAATAAATAAGTGAATAAAATACTATAAAATAAGAGTCCAATATGGGTGGTCTAGGTTGGGGGACAGCTTTCCTCCTTCAGTGATCTGGGGACCCAGGCTCCTCACATCTTGTGCCTTTCTTATCTAGGGATCTCACCCCAGGGATCATTTGGCAATGCCTGGGAATATTCTGGATTGTCATAACGTAGCAGGGGTGGACAGAAGTGCTACTGGTATCTTGTGGGTAGAGGCCAGGGTTGCTGCCAAACATCCCACAGTGCACAGCAGACCCTCCCGCCATGACAAAGAATGAGCCACCCCAAAGCATTCATAGTGCCCAGGCTGAGAAGCCCTGCCTTAGGGCCATGGAGTCCTCCTCCCAGCCAGAAGACAGGGGAGGGGAGGGGAGAAAATGCACCCTTCTTAATGACCTTGGCCTGGAAGATACACAATCCCTTCTCACTTTGCCTAGGGAACAACGAGGCACGTGGACCCTACTGGGTGCAAACTGAGAGACTGTAAACATTTCCATCTCTCTTTATGAAATTCCTTGAAAGCCCATGACCCAGGCTTCAAGGTGAACTCGTGAAAAGAAGGTAGAGAGTGACATCTGAGTTGTGAACGTGTGGCAGTTCCTCGTGGAAGAGTCTTTGGGGAGCCCCACCCTCGGATAGGGAAGACCCCTTTCCTGGGTTCCCACCCACAGCTTGGCCTCTTGCCCTAGTTCTGAGTTGAACCTTCCATGCCCTTTGGGGCGAGGATCCTTGTCCCTTAAGGGCATAACCAACACCAGAGGGATTTGCCCTGACTTCGGGCTGCCCCTGGGGTTGGTCCCATCAGCCTGGAGCTGGAGCAGGGGGAGGAACCTTCATGTCCCCACGCCCACATCTGTCCCCGGTGTTTCAGGTCTACCCCACGGCAACACGGGCCCTCGGCCTGGGCACCTGCAGTGGCATGGCAAGAGTGGGTGCTCTCATCACTCCGTTCATTGCCCAGGTAGGTGCTGCCCCCAAATACAGAGGGGTGGGGGGGGGTCACAAAATAACGCACAGCCAGCAGTTACTACATGCCGACCGTCCGCAGAGCCCTCGGGGTGCCTTAGCTCACTCTATCCTAACAGCACACCTGGGAACAGAGGAAATATTGCCTGCAGGTGAGAAGACAGAGACTCAGGGGATAAAATGACATGCCCACGATCATGCAGTGGAAAGTAGACAATCCAGGAGTCAAACCAGGCCTTCCCTGTGGAGCAGATCCTTGGGCTGCTTTATGATTTGCTTAAAAACAGTTTGGATGAAAACCAGTGGGCCATGGTAAGCGAATTAACCCAAGAGCAGAAAACCAAATACCGCATGTTCTCTGGGAGCTAAGCACTGAATACATATAGACATAAAAATGGGAGTAGTGGATACTGGGACCTCTAGGCTGGGGAGGAAGGGTGGGAGGCATGGGCAGAAAAAAACCACCTGTTGGGTACTGTGCTCCCTACCTGGGTGATGGGATAATTTGTACCCCAAACTTCAGCATCGTGCAATATATCCATGTAACAAACCTGCAGTGGACCCATGACAAAAGCTGAATTTTTTTTTTTTTTTAACAAAAGGAAAGATGGGTTGGGTACTGTCTGGCTCACGCCTGTAATCCCAACACTTTAGAGACTGAGGCGGGTGGATCACTTCAGGTCAGGAGTTCGAGACCAGCCTGGCCAACATGGTGAAACCTCCATCTCTACTAAAAATACAAGGATTAGCCAGGTGTGGTGGCAGGTGCCTGTAATTCCGGCTGAGGCACAAAAATCGCTCAAACCCAGGAGGCAGAGGCTGCAGTGAGCTGAGATTGTGCCACCACACTCCAGCCTGGGCGATGGAGTGAGACCCTGAAAAAGAAAAAACAAGGAAAGAAAACAAGTAGGCCAACACGATTTAGTGGAAAACAAATATGCCCGTTCCTGCTTTTCGAATTAGATCATTAGACGTCAGTGCAGAATTCTGCAACTCTTCATGTATCATGAAGCATTTCTATCTAGGGATCTTAGTACGTCTTTGCTTCTTGAATATCTAGTGTTTCTTCTGTTTGCATCACTTTTTTATTGAGATAAATGTCACATAACAAAATTACCCATCTTAAAGGGAACAATTCAGTGGCATTCAGCACATTCACAGCTTTGGGCAACCACCGCTTCTATGTAGTTCCAAAACCTTCTCATCACCCCAAAATAAACCCCTGGACCCACTGAGCAGTCACTTCTCATTCCTCGCCTCCCCCAGGCTCCTGGCAACCACCCATCTGCTTTCTGCGGATTTGCCAAGTCTGAATATTTCAGAGAAATAGAATTCAAAGACATGTTTAGCCAAGTGCTTCTGTTCTACTTTGGTTTTGGCCATTGTGTGGCACTCCTGACTGATATTGGTTGAGAGTTCACCATGTGCCTGCATGGTGCCAGGTGTCCTCAAGCGTCATCTCATTAGGAAGTGACACCACTCTATGCCCATTTGGCAAATGAAAAAATGGGCTGGGCATGATGGTTCACACCTGGAAACCCAGCACTTTGAGAGGCCGAAGTAGGCAGATGATTTGAGGTCAGGAGTGCGAGACCAGGCTGGCCAACACGGCGAGACCCTCTCTTTATAAAAAATACAAAACAATTAGCCGGACGTGGTGGCACGCACCTGTAGTCCCAGCTAGCCAGGAGACTGAGACAGAAGAATTACTTGAACCCAGGAGGTGGAGATTGCAGTGAGCATAGACACACCACCGCACGCCAGCGTGGGCAACAGAGTGAGACTCCATATCAAAAAAAAAAAAGAGAGAGAAAATGGAACTCAGCTCTGCCATGTGCCATGTGCTGAGAACTAAGAAGTTGGCACAGGCACTGCACTGTCCCAGAGGAGAGCAGAGTTATAAGGTGCCCAGACTCAAGCTTAGCAGACCCCAGTTCAAATCCCAGCCCCATCCTTATTATCTGTATGAACTTGGGTAGGAGCCACTTATCCTCTTTGAGCCTCAGTTTTCTCCTTTGTAAAATGGGGATGAAGTACTTGGCTCATAGGGCTGTGGCATGGCATCTGTGTTGGTCTGCTTTGTGTTGCTTTAAAGGAATACCTGAGACCAAGTAATTTATAGAGAAACAAGATTTATTTGACTCACAATTCTATAAGCTGTACAAGCATGCACCAGCATCTGCTTGGCTTCTGGTGAGGCCTCAGGGAGCTTTTACTCATTGAGGAAGGCAAAGGAGGGGCAGTCATGTCACATGGAGAGAGAGGGACAAAGTGGGAGAGGGGGGAATCACCAGACTCTTTTTAGTAGCCAGATATCACGAGGCGGCCTGATGTTACCAATACTGTTTGATGGTTGGTGAGGTCTGTGTTTCAGAAGGGATGCTTTCACCAACCTGTGGCTCCTTCCCCAGGTGATGCTGGAATCCTCTGTGTACCTGACTCTGGCGGTTTACAGCAGCTGCTGCCTCCTGGCTGCCCTGGCCTCCTGCTTTTTGCCCATCGAGACCAAAGGCCGAGGACTACAGGAGTCCAGCCACCGGGAGTGGGGCCAGGAGATGGTCGGCCGAGGAATGCATGGTGCAGGTGTCACCAGGTCGAACTCTGGCTCTCAGGAATAGTGACTGATGGGGGACTGAGCTGGTCTTTGAGGCTGCAGAGCTCGGGGGGCTGGCAGGCCCCAACTGGGGCACTGATTGCCAACATCAAGAACTCACCCAAGAGTATGTCCTGGACCAACAGGGTTTTGTGTCTTGACTCAGTTTGCTCATATTCATTGAGGTCCACCCAGGGGTGGGGAGGTATTTGCTCTAGGGGGTTCTCTGTATATGTGGGGAAAGGTTTGTTCATAACCTGTGGATCTGCGTGGGAAAACTACCCATATTAGGAGGGTCTGGTGATGCCAGCAACTAATCAGACACCACCCAGAGTCACCTGGCCACACCCTCGGTGAAATAACCAAAAGATCTCTCTGTAGATACCGTCCAGGCCCAGGCCCATGTGACACCTGCCAGCCACCCACCGGACCTGTTCAGTAGGTTTCTCCCACACCCACAGCCCCAGGCTTTCTTCTTTGAAATTGCAGGTGATCTAGGTGTGGTCTCAGCAGCTATTTCCTGGCAGGGCCCCCTCTGTTTGCCTCCCTAGAGCCTGACCAGTGAATTCTCTGGCAGATGGACATTGTGCATTCAAACTGGAGCCACCTGCCCCAACCCAGGCCCCTCTGGAGTTGCCGTTGTTGGCGCCAAGAGATCCAGATGTGTCCCTGGGGACAGCTGGACTTGCACTGGGTGACAACCTCAGGAATCTGTTACCCCCTGGGAACTGAGGACTGAGGTCAAAGGAAAGTGAATCAAGTTCAAGCCAGAGCACGGGCCTCCCCTTCTGAAGCAGCCAAGGCCACGGTTGGGCTTCTTTCCTGACCCCTTCCTTGGTCAGGCTGAATGGTGACTTTTTTTTTTTGGAGACAGAGTCTTGCTGTGTCACCCAGGCTGGAGTGCAGTTGCACGATCTTGGCTCAATGCAACCTCCGCCTCCCGGGTTCAAGCAATTCTCCTGCCTCAGCCTCCCAAGTAGCTGGGATTACAGGTGCCCACCACCATGCCCGGCTGATTTTTGTATTTTTAGTAGAGACGGGGTTTCACTATGTTGGCCAGGCTGGTCTTGAACTCCTGACCTCAAGTGATCTGCCCACCTTGGCCTCCCAAAGTTCTGGGATTACAGGCGTGAGCCACCACACCCGGCCTGAATGGTGACTCTTGATGGGAAAAAGCTTACTCAGGTCCCAGGCACAAAATCCAAAATCCAGGGCTTTGGGTTTTGTGTAGATGGCTGAATGGGCAGAGAAACCAAAAGGATGCTACACCCACCATCTCGTCCCGTGGGGATGCAAAGCTGCTCCTCTGTCCAGGGCCTTCTTGGTCATTACACAAAGGCAGCCCCTGGGGTTCCACTCATAGAGCCTGGCATGGAGTGGAGAGGGGCGGGAGGACTCAGGTGTGTGAAATGTGTATGTTTTCAAAGAAACGGGAGGGAGGCCAACTGGGTTTTGAGTTGGTCTCTGCAGGCAACGTCACTTCCGGGGATAGTTTACTGAAGCCTTTTTTGCCCATGGTGAAGGCAGGGGACCTAGACAAGGAGGGAGGGAGCTGGCAGATCCCATCAAAGGCTGGAGCAGACTGACCTACTGCTTGAAGTAAACATTGCAAGGAAGCCAACGTGTGTGTTCATCTCCTATTAAAACATGTCAGTGATGGACATCGCAAGAGTCTAAGTTTATTCATTGTCATCACGTCCTAGTGACAGTCCAGCCTAACGGTCTAGCTACCTTTGCTCATCGGAACTCATCTCAATGCTTTGGGATGATCATCTCCTTTCCAACAGTGGGGAAAGATGCACCGTTGACTGCCAACATTGTGGCTGAGCCTGTTGGAGACAATGCTTTCTTCTAATGGTGTGCAGGTCATGATGGGGGACTTCTTCAAGCTCAAGTTCTAGATCAATTGCAAACAATACTGTGTCTCTAACATATGGATTACAGCCCCCTCGGCCCAGGCAGTTGGAGAGGAGGCGGCTTGGCAGATCCCTTCCTCTCTCTGACAACCACATTTTCTTGAACCACGTGTGGCTGTAGCTCGCATTATTTCTGGACAGCTGAGCTCTCTTGGGTAACACAGAACTGTTGCTTGTCTCTTTTGCCTTCCGGCTGGTCAGATACTGCTGGATGATCGTGTCTGCTCCCTCACCCTAGAATAACCCAGTGAGCTGGGGGCTGGTGGGGGAAGAGTACTTGGTGGGCAGGAATATTTCCCAGGGACTGGGGTAAAGGGGTTTACCCTTGAGGGCGTTCTCTACATGAGAAAATGAAAGTTAAAAACTCTTTGCCTTCTAAATAGCCTGCCCTTTTCAAAAAGTCAATATTATCGAATGGTACAAGAGCTATCACAAAAGGCACCCAAACCTCTGAATACACGAGACCTTTAGCCAAAGACATTTGTATCTAATTTTGAACAATCCTATTCAAAAAGCTCCTATTTTCGTTAATGGAAATGCCATGTTTCTTTCAGAGTTAGGAAGGATCTGAGAAAGTGGCAGATATTTAATGTGGCCAGAGCTATATATTTCTGTCTTTCTCTTCAAGTATTCTCAAAAACATATAACTGACCCTGGTGGTGTTCCCAGTGGGATGAAACAGTATCTTAGGAATTGACTTTGAAATGGATATGGATATTCATTGTTTTTAATATAATGTTAAGCAATAGAAAGCCTTGAATGATGAGATCAAGAGTCTCCCCTGCCATTACTTTCAATGGCAAAAACCACAATTACTTTTTTTTTTTTTTTAGACAAATTCTCAGCTCACTGCAACTCCGCCTCCAAGGATTAAGTGATTCTCTCACCTCAGCCTCCTGAGTAGCTGGGATTACAGGTGCCTGTCTTGATGCCTGGCTAATTTTTGTATTTTTAGTAGAGATAGGGTTTCTCAAACTCCTGACCTCAAGTGATTCATCCACCTCTGCCTCCCAAATGCAATTACTTTTGCACCAACCTAATAACAGTAATCCCAGTCAATCGTGGCTCAAACCATTAGAACCAAAACCAGGCAGAGATCAGGAAAGGTTCAATGCTTAACAGTATCATCAAGAACACAGCTTCTTTTGGGCTTTCTTTTTCACCATCCTTTACATGTTGGCCATTTGACTCTGTGCTTGAAACCTCGTGGTCACAAAATGGCTGCCCTGTGCCGGATGTCATATTTATTTTTGAAGAAGATAGAATGGGAAAGGAGCTGTCATAAAAGGTTTTCTTTCAGAAGAGTCTGTTGTTTTTTGTTAGAAAAGGAAGCCCCCCAGCAGATTTACCATTGCTTCTCATTGATCAGACCTGGGTGGCATGCCGATCCTAGCATGCATCCTGCTGTAGGGCTGGAAGAAAGGGCCTGCCAGTATTAATGGGTACCTACAGCCTCTTGAACACAAAACTGGGATTCTGTTAGCACAGAAGAATAATAGCAATGGCTGTTGGATGGGCGATGGGTGCGAAGAGGAGCCTGCCATGGATGTGTAGACCACAGAGCTCTCATCAGCCCCGTTTCCATTGCAAGGAGAATAAATTCTGCTCAGGCTAATTAAAATTTAAAAATCAAGCTTTATTGTAAGACTGGGATCAGTAATTCATTTCCTACAAGAGAACGTCAGGCAATGCAAATCAGTGAAACGGAAAAGGCATAAAGAACAAGAGGAGGGACTGTAGCAGAGATAGAAACACCAGCCTTGTCTGCAGAGGGTAGCTGCAACTTCCTTCCACCTGATGTGCCATCTTCTGTCCAGTGTGACCGAATCTTCCAATGTTCAAGAAAGGAGTCTAGGTTTTTCTGTGAAATCTCCAAATATTATTGTATTGGATCAAAATGTTCAAATGATGTTTGAGTTCAATAAAATGCATCTGCAGTGAAGCTTTGGTTGATGAGCTGATGGTTTGCAGCTTCTGACAGTTTAGAGAGATTGCATAGCAAGAAAGTAGAGCCTGGTGTCATTCTGTGGAACAGGGAGCTGGGGAACCACCAGGGCCCAAGACCACTGCCTCTCTGAATCTGTGGCACTCGTTTCTGCCCTTTTCTGCAGACTGCCTTCCTTCTGTTTCCTCGTGGCTGCTGTGTATGCATGATCATGCACAGGGCTTCCGTGGGCTCATAACGCAGCTCTGCAAACACACCTGACTCAGCTGCTCAGTGCCCCACTCCCGAATCTTCAGGAAAGGAAGCTGATTGGCCCAGTTTAGTGTTGGGTAGAGTCCTGGTCCAATTCAGTTGGGTCGGAAAGGAGTGGTGGGGAGGTACAGACGTGGCGCTGTCCTGCCCTTTAGCGGGGTGGCACAGACAATTGCTGGTATGCCTGGAATCTGCAGTGATGTGCATCACCTCTCAAGTCTGTTCATCAGAACACTTACAGATCATGTCATGGCAAGTGGTCAGTATGCATGGAATATCCAGTGTGTACTGGACATGATATTCAACACTGAGGATGCAAAAAATCATAAAACATAGTCCTGGCTGGGTGCAGTGGTTCATGCCTGTAATCCCAGCACTTGGGGAGGCTGATGTGGGAGGATCACTTGAGGCCAGGAGTTTGAGGCTGCAGTGAGATTTGATCGTGCCACTGCATTCCAGCCTGAATGATGGGGTGAGACCCTGTCTGTTAAAAAAAAAAAAAAAAAAGAAGAAGGCTTGCCAGGCACGGTGGCACGTGCCTATAGTCCCAGCTACTCGAGAGGCTGAGGTGGGAGGATTGCTTGAGTCCAGGAGTTCTGGGCTGTAGTGCGCTATGCCGATCGGGTGTCCGCACTAAGTTCGGCATCAATATGGTGACCTCTCGGGAGCGGGGCACCACCAGGTTGCCTAAGGAGGGGTGAACCGGCCCAGGCCGGAAATGGAGCAGGTCAAAACTCCGGTGCTGATCAGTAGTGGGATCGCGCCTGTAAATAGCCACTGCGCTCCAGCCTGGGCAACATAGCAGGACCCTGTCTCTTAAAAATAAAAATGAAAATGAAAAAAAAGAAGACTGGGCGCGATGGCTCATGCCTGTAATCCCAGCACTTTGGGAGGCTGAGGCGGGTGGATCACCTGAGGTCAGGAGTTCAAGACCAGACTGGCCAACATGGTGAAACCCTGTCTTTAAAAAAAAAAAAAAATTAAAAGAAAAGAAAACTGAGCTTGGTGGCTCACCCCTGTAATCCCAGCACTTTGGGAGGCTGAGGCGGGTGGATCACCTGAGGTCAGGAGTTCAAGACCAGACTGGCCAACATGGTGAAACCCTGTCTTTAAAAAAAAAAAAAAATTAAAAGAAAAGAAAACTGAGCTTGGTGGCTCACCCCTGTAATCCCAGCACTTTGGGAGGGCAGATGGGAGGATTGCTTGAGCCCAGAAGTTCGAGACCAGCCTGGGCAACATGGCAAAACTCTGACTCTAAAAAGGTGGTGTGCTGCTGTGGCCCCAGCTACTCGGAGGCTGAGGTGGGAGAATCACCTGAGCCTGTGAAGTTGAGGCTGTATCATGCCACTGCACTCCAGCCTGGGTGACAGAGTGAGACTCTGGTTCACAAAGAAGGGGAAGAAGAAAGAAGAAGGAGGAGGAGGAGAGGAGGAGAAGGGAGAGGAGGAGGAGGAGGAGGGAAGAGGGAGGAGGAAGAAGAAAGAGGAAGAGGAGGAGGAAGAAGGAAGAGGAGGAGGAAGAAGGAAGAGGAAGCAGGAAGGAGACCTTCCTTATCTTCAGGCTCCCACAGTGTACTAGGGAACATGCATGCATACATCATTGTGATACAGTGTAATATGGGTGCTAAGGATGGGCGCTGACAGAAAGTGTCATAGGAGACCCAAGGGATGCCATCCCTGAAGCTCTAGAGCATCCTGAGCATATTCTGACTCCTCAAGGATTTAGGAATTTCAGCCAGACTTTGGTCACTGGTGGTACCTTACTGTATTCTATATTTGAATATCCACATACATCACATATAATCATTCTCTCTTTTTTGAGATGCTGTGTTGCCCAGGCTTGTTTTGAACTCCTAGTCTCAAGTGATCTTCCCGCACCAGCCTCCCAAGTAGCTGGGATTACAGAAGTGAGCCATGGTGCCTGGCAATAATCATTCTCAATTAATCCAGAGTATTTTATGATGAACCATTAAAATGCCCCAACCCTCACCGTGCCAGAGAAGACAGTGTTTTCTAAATTCATCAATAAGAAAACAATTCCATTCCCAATAGCATCAAAACAAATAAAATACTTAGGAATAGGCCGGGCACGGTGGCTCACGCCTGTAATCCCAGCACTTTGGGAGGCCGAGGTGGGTGGATCACGAGGTCAAGAGATCGAGACCATCCTGGTCAACAAGGTGAAAACCCGTCTCTACTAAAAATACAAAAAATTAGCTGGGCATGGTGGCGCGTGCCTGTAATCCCAGCTACTCAGGAGGCTGAGGCAGGAGAATTGCCTGAACCCAGGAGGCGGAGGTTGCGGTGAGCCGAGATCACGCCATTGCACTCCAGCCTGGGTAACAAGAGCGACACTCCGTCTCAAAAAAACAAACAAACAAAAAAAAACCTTAGGAATAAATTTAACAAATGGAGTGTAAGACCTACAAACTACAAAGCATTGCTGAAAGAAATTGAAGATCTAAATAAATGGAGAAACATTTCATACGCATGAATCAGAAGACCTAAAACTGTTAAGATGTCAACCCCTACTCTCTAAATTTACCTATAGATTCAACACAATTCCTATCAAAATCTCTCAGCTGGCTTATTTTTATTGCAGAAATTGTCAAGCTGGTTTTTTGTTTCGTTTTGTTTTTGGTTTTGAGATGGAGTGTTGCTCTGTCACCCAGGCTGGAGTGCAGTGGCACAGCCTCAGCTCACTGCAACCTCTGCCTCTTGGGTTCAAGCGATTCTCCTGCCTCAGCCTCCCAAGTAGCTGGAATTACAGGCATGTGTCACCACGCCCAGCTAATTGGTTTGTATTTTTGGTAGAGTTGCCCCAGCTGGTCTTATTGCCCCAGCTGGTCTTATTGCCCCAGCTGGTCTTGTTGCTCCAGCTAGTCTTAAACTCCTGGCCTCAAGTGATCCGCCGGCCTTGGCCTCCCAAATTGCCGAGATGACAGGCGTGAGCCACCATGCCTAGCCTGGCAAGCTGATTTTAAGCTCATACAGAAATGAAAAGGACCCAGGAGAGCCAAAACAAAAATGTTGGAAAAGAGGAGTAAAGTTGGGGGACTCACACTTCCTAATTTTAAAATATACCACAATGCTATGGGAATCAAGACAGCGTGGTACGAACGTAAGATAGATCCATGGAATAGGGTCCAAAAATAAACCCATACATTTATTTTTATTTTTATTATGGAGACAGCATCT